ATAAGGTTTTCATATAGTTTTTTAGTCCTCACTGTTTTCCATATTTATTTAATTTACAGAAGGATAATAATCCTGGTGACATTAAGAGAAGCAGTTTTAGCCTATGGAAAAAAGAACACTGGAAGAAGTCACAAAGGAAATGTGAGGGGATGTTAACTGATGTGTGGATTAGAAAGAGTATCTTGGACAAGAAGGTCTAAAATCTGACTGGATCCTGCAGATCCAATGTATCATTTCAAACTTCCAAGGGTAGAAAGAACATGGAAATGTCTCCCACATGACCTCCTAATGCCTTGTCTCATCTATCTCCCTTCTGCCTCTCCCCTAACACACATCACTGACCACCCTCCTCTGACTCTGCCTTCAGACAAGGAACTGCAGTACCTAATCCTTGTACCACTTTTTTCCTTTCAACAAGCACCAGGGTATATTCATCAAGGAAAGTGCTTTAGCTGGAGACAGCAGCACATGGTTTGGATTGCCACCCAGCACCTCTCCTTCAGCACTGGGAGCTGAGCAGCTAGGCTGGGGAGCTTGCAACACCCTGGTACAGGAGATGCCATCTGCCAAATGTCCTCCCAAGTGGTGTTTTAGCAAGTGGGATTAAAAAGCTAAAAAGAACATTCTGTACATGGCAGCTGAAGTCCATCATAGCTCTGCTTACAAGATTCTGGCTCTGGGAGGATGCTGGGCAAGTAGCCAATAAGTGTCTCTTACTTGTCCATGTTTCCCTTTAGACAGGGATTCCTAGCTTAGCATGGCCAGAGATAGCTCTGGAGAGCAGGATGTCACCAGGGAGCATTAGCATTCACCAGTCCCAGGTGCAGACTGCCCAAGGAGGTGCTAGCTCCATTAACTGAGTTCTCCAGGGCCCTATGGTCGATCTTGATTTCTTTGAGGTCACTAGCGTAAGTCCCATCAGCTCAAAAAGCAACAGATCTCATGTGCTCCTTCACGTATGAGCAAACAGGCTTCCTGGGAAGGGGGAAATAAGAAGGGAAAGTGGCTTCACCCTTTACTTCCCTGCTTTCTGGCCTCATCACCCCCTCCTTTTTACTTGTCCATGCACTTCTTGTGCCTCCAAGAAGACACTTGTGCTCCAGGATGCGGCTGGTCTTGGAGCTGTGGAGGGGTCTCTGGGTCTGGCTGGGGGTCACTGGGGCTGGGCCCTTTGCCTCTAAGGAGGGCAAAGCTGCTGAGGTCCAGATTCTTCCTGATGTCATCATGTGATAGCTAATTAATGACCTCCCCATGTTTCCATGACAACTTCATGCTGTGCTCTTAGCCCTGATCCAAATGGACATTCTGTACACTTCTGAAGCCGTAGCATCAGCATATTAATAAGACTTGCTGACGTCCTTTGCTTTCTGCCACATGGCTGCTAAGTCTAAATTTGAATAACTTAAAAAAAGCACGTTTCTCAGTAAGCTTCCAGCGCATTCTCTCATGTGACTTGAAACAACTGATCACAGAAGTTTTCTGCATTGGAAGGGAAGAAGCAGGTAGATTCTGCTTTACCTGCTGCTTTTTGCCATGCTTTGCCTTTGGGAGAGCTGGCGTCTGGCTTTTCTTTTTTTCTCTGGGTGTTTTGGAAGCTCCAACTTTCATATAGTCTTTAATTTAATTACAGGAAGGGACAAGTAGTGCCATGATTTGGTAGGACCATCTCTGTATTAGCTGAGCTGGACAATCTTACGGATTACTCCCTAACTCGTTGTACAGAGGGAAGAAGATGAATTTCAGTCTCGTACAGTCAGAGAATGGTTACTTGTATTTCATGCTACAAATGTCCCTTTTACCATTAAACTCTATAACAATACCTCCTGATCAGGCAGTTTAGTGAATCTGGGTTTATTTGTGAAAGGATTCTCTGAGTGCCACCCAATTCTCCTCTATTAAGTATGCTCCATTCTAGTCCCTGACTGTAAACCATCTTTTTCTGCCCAAGTGGAGGGCTTAGACATAATTTCCTCAGAAGCCCATTAATACCACTACAGCACTGGTGTGGCCTCTCTAGGGGGATCTCAGTTTTCTGTTATCAAGACAGAAGTAAGCTAGATGCCTCCATATCTTCTATTGCCCACACAGACGATAACCTAAAACAAACCTGTGGGGTCTGGATCTGGCTGTCACATACTGTCCCTTTATCTGGGGAATGGCTTAATGTTCTCTTGGCACCCAATGTCTTGCTTATGGTTTGTGGTGTTGTCCCCTTGCTGAAGCCCAGTAATACCAGGAGCTGACCATTAAAGGTACCTGAGAGCAATTGATTTGATCCCTAACATTCCCACAGATATGGGGCAAGATTTAGCTAATGTGTTGCTAGTTACCCACGAGAGCTGAGATTTAATTGCAGCTTCTTTGGCTTCCAGTCACTGGAGCTGGATACTTGTCTCATAGGAAAGCAATTGATCAAATTAATTTCACTTAGTGTTAGCATGGTCACTATCCCCAGCCATGAAGAAATCTCATTGAATTCAGAATGTATCTCAGGCTGTAGGTTGCTCATAAGCAGTATTCAGTATTTTTAGAGTAATAACTAGTTCTTTTCCGTGCCAGCTCTTTGGGTCATACATGTAAATTAAAAGCTACATTTCTATTCCCTGCTCGGATAGATGTAGCTGTCAGGAACATTATTTCCACTCATAATTACAAATCTGACATTCATTTCCCATGAATAGTCTCTACTATTTGCTTAAAACTAAGTTCCATGCATACTATTGCTGGTGAATTCTCTCTTATCAGAAATCTGACACAGGAATGTCACAACCATAAGGAAACCTCTTTGGATGGTGGGGAAGCATGAACCTCTGCTGCACAAAGCAAAGACCAGCCAAATGAACAAACTGGGAAAAGTATAATCTCTTGCATGGACTGACTGGTAAAGAGAGAAAGCTCTCAATGCAAGTTAGGAAAAAGACAAAGTTAGTACTGATGGAAATAGTTGGATGTCCCTAGAAACATTTTTGTTATACAGATGCATGCACTTCCCCACCTTTTGGTAGGCACACAAGGACTAATGTCTTCTTTTGTTACTAGGAGTCCTTTTTGCTTTCTTACAGTCTACCCAGATAGCTTCTTTTATGCCCCAATTGCTGGTTCAGCATGAGAGCTCAGTGAATGCGAATTATCCTCAAGTTATCCAATTCCTTCTCAGGAAACTTGGATAAGCATCAACCAAAACCACACAAATTAAACTAAACCTGAAGCCAGCCTTAATTGTCTAAATCCCTGGTGTCACATGAATAACACCACAATGCATTTAGCTCTTTCCAGAAGAATTGATGTTATTCTCAGAATCTGAGCCAAAGACTCCAAACAAAGGAGGTCAACATTTCTACAAGACTGTTTTGATCTCGACTGAGTCAGTATGTTACATCTTGAGCCAGATCTGAGTTTTGGACTTTGGATCAGGACTATCCATCCTGCTCAGGCCTGGTTTTCCCCAGGATCATAGAATGGTTTGGGTTGGAAAGGACCTGAAGATCATCTTGTTCCAATCCCCCTGACATGGACAGGGACACCTCACACTAAACCATGTCACCCAAGACTCTGTCCAGCCTGGCTGTGAACACTGCCAGAGTGCCCAATACTCACCTCCCATGTGAGTTCAGGCTTCATCACCCAGCTCAGCTGGTCCCACATTCATAAACTCCGTTTGATGTATTATTTGTTTTAAACCAAAACACACACAAACACACACTCCACAACATTTTACCCACCTTTTAGTTATTTAGTTATTCTTTTTGATAACTCAACTCTTTTTGATTTGGTTTTATCCTTGCAAATTCAGGGTTGATTTGGTTATTGTGCTCTTCCCTCCCACCCCTCCTTTTTACTTCTTTTGCAGGTAGCTTAATAAGATTTTTTCATCTGCTTTCTGGACTTATTTTTTAGACGAACAAAGTGTAAGTGAAACAAGGATTTCATTCAGCCATGGAAACATAAGAAAGTAAAAGGGATTTTTCCTTCCCTAAATCAAAAATGGACATGAGTACCCTTTAACGCCTCTAAGTTTCCTTACTAATGTGTTTTCTTGTGCTTTGGTTTTTGTGGTGATGAAGGTTTCCCATTGTTATTGGAAAACCCAGAACCTGAGGCAAAAAGCCAAATGCATGTTTGCCTTTAGGTTTATCAAAGTGGCATGTGATTTTGGCTTTCTCTGTTTTAGGGACTCTGTTGAAGTACCTTAAAGATGAGTACCTGAAGATTTATAGGTGCTGATCCTCCAGGGATTAAGCTCTGGCATCACTGAAGGCAGCAGCATCTGATGCAGGACATGAACTCCAGATCAGCAAAGTAGCCAAAGGGACCTGATGCATCCCATTCTTCAGCAAGTGCTGAGACACTACCTCTGGTGAAAAGCCTTCCAAGGTGGAAATCCCAAAGTGAAGCCACCTGAGACCTGCACCCACCCTCCACCTCTCACATGTCCTCTCACCAATGAGGCATTAGTGTTACTCTCATAGGACTGCCATCACCTTCTGTCCTCCAGCAAAGCTCAGCACAGGCTGTGGGAATAACTCAACATAAAGCTGGCATAAATCTCAAGAGAAGAAATATCTTTTATCTTTAACCATTTACTCCCACTATAGGAATAATGGTAGCTCTTTTACATTTACATAGAACTCTTGTTTGTTTGCTTTGATTGGTTTTGTCTCTTTGTCTTGGCACCTGCATAGCAGAAAACTTTACAGTTCATTACAGAAGTTTGCCCCTCCCTCTGCTCCTCCCTTTATTTACTCTGCTGCCCCTAAGGAGTAGCAAGCAACACCCCCAAGGTCAAGAGAGAGTAAGGTGTTCCCCTTTTATGACGGATTATAGAAATAACAAACATGCCTGACAGTTTTATACAGCTGCTAGAACGGGTTTAGTTTTTCAACAAATGAAGAATTTCCTCTTTTCTTTTCCCTTTTGTATATTAATTACATTTTACAAATCTTGGCTTTCCCCTTTACTTTCCCCCCACTTTTCTTTCTTTTTAATTTTTCTCTTTTTATTTCTTTTTTCGCTCTTTTATTTTTTTAATTTTTTTTACAGCAAAAGAATCAATCACCAACATGTCCATTGAAAAGTCTGGGTTAGCAGAGTTTGGCTGTCATCTGGTCTGACTGTTTGAGGATCTCGGTGTTGTACAGGTCTAGAGCATGGTTCACGCGGATGATCTCGCTGTTGGTGAGTTTCAGGCGGTGCTTGAGCATACAAGAGAACAGATCCAGCTGGGGCTTTCCTGGGGCCACAGGAGGTGCCAGTCTATTGATTCGGTCCCGAATATCCAGCAGCAAGAGCATGACGGAGGAGGAAGAATAGAACTGCCCGCCTTGTGTGTAGGACTGGTTGACCTGCTGCACAGCACTGCGCAGTAGGTCGGCGTTAAAACGCAGGCTGTAGCCATACACCTGCACATCTGAGATCTTGATGTAGAACTGGCGCTTGGTGGGGTCAGAAAGGTCCACAGGCCCTTGGCCAGTCTCGTTACGCAGTAGGGAGGGCAGCCGAGTCCGGCTGCGTAGGTAGATGTGGACAGTCTCAAAAAAGGTTTTCCACCGGTTGCCCAGTAGCAGGGTCCAGTTGTAGCACTGGCTGTTTTGGAGGCGGATTTTCTCCCAGCGTGGGTAGCCGTACTCCCCAAAGGGCATGTTCCAGCCCTCGGAATGACTTCCGCTGAAGGGGTTGACATAGACAAAGAACATAGGGTCCAGGCTGCTGTTGCGCATCTGGCAGATTCGCATGGAGATCCCGATCACCATGTGGATGAAGTCCATCCGGTTCTTGTTGCTCTTCAAGGTGAGGGACATACGTTTGCGCCACCTGGGGTCGAAGAAGGTGTCCAGGCGGATCTCGTTGCTGATGAAAGTGGTGTGCACGTACAGGCGAGAGTCCATTTTCTGCAGCAGGTACTTCAGCTCTAGGTCTTGGAAGTCCAAGTCTGTCTCAAAGCTGATGAACTGCTCACTTCGCTCCGAGTCTACGTTCTGAGGCTCACAGCGACCCCGGTAAAGCTTATAGCCCTTGTTGCATGAGCCACAGAGGGAGATGTTGGCAAGGCTGCACATAGCACAGCTGTTGTTGCCCCCAATGATGCAGGGGATGGGGCGCTGGCACAGGCTGGTGCCACCATGGCAAACGCAGCTCCGTTGGCTTTCCAGAAAGGTCCCCCAGAATCCATTCTCATTGCAGTAGAGCAGGGACTGGACCCGTGTAAGCCATTCCTGTATTGTCCTGCAGGTAGGAAGAAGAAAACCATTAGCATGGTAGAGCTTCACAGACTCTTTGTTATTGGCATCTTACTAGAACCGCAGCGTTTTCAGGGATTCATCTGAGGCAGAGGTCTAGGAACACTGATGCCCTGCTGTGTCTCTATTTCTAGACTGAATCATTCATCTGCTGTTTAATTCTTTGGTGGAGTTCACAAGCCCTATAAGAAATAGCTGGAAGTTAGAATCGATCATCTGAAGTCTCTCTCTTCATGCTGCTCTAGGAGCTGAGACTGGCACAGTCTCCTGCCAAGGATCTCATCAGTTCTACAGTGATAGAGTTCAGTCATGGGAATGGAGCTCATAAAGCCATGCCAGAGGCTGAGGTGCTATCAGACATCACAGGTCAGCACAGTTCCTAGGCTAGCAGGAGAAAACTCTCCATGGCACTGGCAATTCCTGCACTCTCCAAAACCAGACCTGTAATGGGATGAGGCAAAGCCAGAAGTAACCTTTGCTTATGGTGCAGAGCTCAGGAATAGCAGAAAAGAGGGTGGAAGTCAGAGTGCCTAGAGACAAAGCCGCTAAAATAGCTTCTCTTTTAAAAATCTATTAACAATTAACTACCTCTTACAGCCTCTTCCCTGAAAAGCAGCTACACTTGCCCATCCCCAGGCCCTACCACTCCCAAACCTGCTCTATCAGCACCCTGACCTCCCATCCTGCAACCCTGGAATGACTCCTGTTGAATGACACTGTGACCCACGTTTGCCTTTGTGTAACTCTCTTGCAATGTTGCCTTGCTGGCCCCTTCTTCCCCCCTCCCCACTGCCCCGGGAAATCTCAGCACAGCGACTCCTTTCTCAGCAGCCTTCAGCTGAAGGCCTTGTTCAGCCTCCCGCTCCCTTCCCTTCCCTCCACCACCCCCCAGTTAATGAATACTTCATTGTCTCCTCTGGGCAAGAAGTTCTTGGTAGTGCTGCAGTGAGAGGACTGGCTAATGACAAATTAGGATTCAGTCCCTGTAGAACAGGAGGAGTGATTATGGACAGAGGCTCTCAGAGCTGGATTAGAGAAATTCATGGCACCTGCATCGCCTGACCTCTGAATAATCATTAAGCTGTAGGCTGTATCAAAGAAGGCATTAAATGATACAGCAGCAAAGAACAGCAAGATGATTAGGGGGAGGGAGTGAGTGGCGGGATGAGAGTGAAAACAGAGGAAAGCACTGGAAGGAAAGAAGTAGTCAAGGAGCAGAAGCAGAAAGGGTAGAGGGGGGAAATGCAGGTAGAAGGAAAAATGAGAGAGAAATGCCATGGGCAGGAGGAATAGAGGTGGAGAAAGCAGGAAACTGAAACTGCGGCAACAGCTGAAAGACAGGACAGGCAGGAATGAAAAGCAGCAGGAAGAAACTGAGTGAAAGGAAAAAAATTAGTGAGGAAAAAGATAGTGAATTAGTGGGAAAATTGTGAAGCCTTGGATGTGGGAAGAGTCAACTTTCATATTCCTCCTGTGATATGAAGCTGCCTGTGTCTCTTTCTCCTATCCACAGCTAACAGGAGCTCTCCTGTTAGTGAAAAAGATAAGCTTGGCTGGGGAGCTTGGTAGCAAGGCAGCAACCCTTATAAATATCTGCTGCAGAGGGATGTGGTGACTCCTGGTCCCTCGAAGAAGTGCACATGGCTCTTACTGGTCTCTGGAACAGCTCTGCTTCAGCAGGGACAGATAGCACAGCACAGTGTGTCTGCAAAACACATTGCTGACAGCAACAAACACTCTCCAAACTATGCCCTGGGGGTGGACTCTGCTTTCTGCTCATCGGTGAACTTTTGCTCACTTTTTCAGTAATACAAATATATTTTACCCTATGTGAAGCATCACAGTTCCTGTTTGGAAAGTGCCAAATGCACTTGAATTTAGAGAGGCACCCAGATTGCAAGTTTCACTCTCCCTAAGGTGTTGTGAACCCACCTTAATTCCTCCATGCACCTCCTTGAAAGCTTTTTTCTTTGTTTCTAAGCAATCTAAGCCTGGAGCTGGAGAATAATGAACAAGTGGAGGATGAACTAAAACCAAAGCAACTGTCCAATATACAGGCTGCTTGGGTTCACTGGGTTGAGGAACTGCTGAAGGGAAGCACAAGGTTCCTGCATGCTGCCTTTTCCCATGGCTGGGCTTGATGACAATGATGAAAATCAGAGATTGCTTTGAAGGGAATACCTCCTGCAGCCCCAAGCTTCATCCCTAGCTCCCACTCCCACTGTAATTTCTACAAAGACAAGGAGAAGCCCAGCAGCATAAGGAAAATGAAGAGTAGAGCCAGCGGGCTGGTGGCAGAGAGGTGGTAAATGTCCAGCTCCATCAGGTGTCCCCTCAGCATCCCTACCCCTGCCCATGAAGTGAGGGCAATATTTCCCTGATTTCCACAGCTCTCTCCATGGCCACATTTGTTGCTTTTTGGGGGACTGGGCTTCCAGATGAGGTAGCAATGGTTGCTCATAGGCCTAAAGGTGTTTTCTGAGGTGGGTTTCATGAGGTGTCATCAGAGGTGTGCCTGTGTGCATGTGCTGCCACCACTTTCATACAGCTGCCAATAGCCTTATACAGCTGCATATGCAAGTGACAGCCAAACACAGGTTGAACAACTACCATGTGCAGATCTCTATTCCAGCTCTGTGCAAGAGAACTCAACTCTCCCAGTTTCCTCGTGCACAGGATTCCCAGCATGTTTGTGCAGTGCTGGCTCAATGCTTTACACAGGTTTTACGTGCTGATAATGCCATTGAGTTCACAGGTCAGGGACTGCAGGGGACACAATAAAAATGGGAGTCAGTTGAACATGTCCTGTCTGTCTGAGGTGTGTTTTTTCTAGGGGAAAAGAACCCAAACTCTATCTTTCCATCCCTCTCTTACACTAAGAGGGGAATCTCAGCTAATATTTTGCAATTGAAACCAGTTATTTTCCTCTTTCTCAGGTCCGCTTTGTGGAGGAAGGATGGGAGGAGATCAGGACAAAGAGGAAAAAGGGTTTTTGGAGGATATATATGTCTTAGCACTCAGCAAAGACACAAGTAGGCCAAAAAAAAAAAAAAAGAGCCTACCCACCATCTGCTGATGGCAGCAATAAAGGATGTAATTAAATGAAAATGCAGAATCCAGGGCAGAGCTGGGCATTGGCTACAAACATGACAATGGGAAGTGTGAGAGACTGAGAGAGAGGAAAAGTGATATAAATTACCCCGTTTTGTCTCGTAACTGGGACAAGATAAGAATATATGGAGATGCAGTCACTGCCCTTGAGCTGAGAGGAGGTAAACTTCCTCAGACACATCCCTGTGATGGCTCAGACTCATGTGAATATAACCAAGGGATGTCAGGGCAGAAGGAAGCTGAAAAGAGCCACTTTAAAAGCTAAAAGCCAGCAGTAGAGAAGCCGTTGGTTTTCATTTCAATTATTTTCTCTTTCATTAAAATGTCATGGATGTATCTTTCTTCCTCTTCATATCATTGTAAAAGTTATTTTGCCTAATATTTGCTACCTCTGCTAGTTCCAAGTATAAAGTACCAGAGCATGTGAAAGTAAAAGAAAGGAAAACTATGTCTTCAAAAGTCTCTGTCAAGCCATTCTACATTCAGCTTTAATATCTTGCATTCCAAAACTAAAATAAAAAAGAACTACATCCAGGGAGAGCAGTGAGTGAGAGTTATTTTGCAGTGTTTTCTTGCTGGTGCTCACTGGAGACATGCAGTCATAGAATCATAGAATCATAGAATGGTTTGAGTTGGAAAGGACCTGAAGATCATCTAATTCCAAACCCCTGCCATGGGCAGGGACACCTTGCACTAAATCATGTCACCCAAGGCTCTGTCCAACCTGGCCTTGAACACCTCCAGGGATGGAGCAGTCACAACTTGGGTAACCCATTCCAGTGCCTCACCACCCTCACAGGAAAGAACTTCTTCCTTATATCTAATCTAAACTTCCCCTATTGGTTTGGTTTGGATTGGAAAGGACTTTAAACCTCATCCAGTTCCAATCCCCTGCCAGAGGCAGGGCCACCTTCCACCAAAGCAGGCTCCTCCAAGCCCCATCCAACCTGGTCTTGAACACTGCCAGGGATGGGGCAGCCACAGCTTCTCTGGGCAACCTTTGCCAGTGCCAAGAAAACAGGTTTTGCAGTATTGGGCTTTCAGATCAGAAGCAAAGGTCAGGTTATACTGAAAGGTGATGAGCAATTTTCTTTCCTCCTGATTTGTCATCCTTCAGGATGAATCAGGTCTGGGGAGGGGAAGAAGCTGATGGGTGTCTCTTGAGACAAAGCTGCCACTTTGTTGTAGATGGTGTCTGAGCTCATTAGAAAAACAAACCATACCAAACCAAAAACAGAACGCAAACAAAAAACAACCCCCAAAAGAACAATCAGAATCTGGAGCCAGAAGGACAGAGACTAGTTTTTGTTCCAGTTGCAAGAAAAAAGGTAAGGATTTAACAAGTTCTTTGCAAACTCACCTTCCTCTTTCCAACCAGCACTAGCTGCTGTGGAGGTACTTCTGGGCTTTCAGCATGGCACAGTGAAGTAAAAAAAAGCTATTTTTATTCTCAGCAGCTGTGAGATGTATTCTTAACTAATGACAATTTGGCTGGAGCCCAGAGCATGTAGCAACCGCCCTTCCTTCAGATGTTATTTATATTTTACATCTATAATGCAGCCATAGGTACTCATTCAACATTGATGCTTTAACAGCTGAGGGGTGCTTTCTTTTTCAAACTAACAAACTTGCCTGCAAAGAGGTGGTTTTGAAGCCAAAGCAGTGCTGAGCTAATGTATTTATGTGTATATATATATATTAAAAGCATGTATTTGTAAATATAGCTATATAAATATGTATTTTTATAGCCTTCTTTGCTATTGCAAAAGGTCGTGGAGAATCAGCCTAATTGCCAAAATCTCTACTCTTTCTTTTGGAAACACCACCTCCTCCTTTCCCTAAGGACCATCAACAGTAATTGTATTTCTTTTTTCCATTGCTTTTGAATATATAATGCAAGGTTACTATTAAAGAGAGAGTCTTGCTCTAAATAGAACCTTTCTATCCTTTCAAAGCCATTGGCATGCTTGATAAGCATCTGTCATTCTGTACAGTAACAATTAGGAAATTAGAGTATTTCCAAGCTTTGGTGAAAGGAACAGTGAAATGCATACCTCTTCTGCTACACATCTACCGAGCTGCTCCCCTGCCTAGTTACAAATGCAGCATGACAAATAAGAAAGGAAATGATAATATGCCTGCTGGTGTTGACTTAAACAAATCAAGCACATCAGTCAGTTGAAAACCCAGCTGCCATCAGCCACTTCATCCTCCTTCCCCCAGATTTTACACTATTAGATGGAGGCTGCCTTTCTGCGTGGCTGACTCTTTAAAATAGAAGAGAAATGCTAAAGATGTCTTTAGTTGAATGCTTTGCAGCAGCCTGGTTGGCTGGATATTTGCTTACTGCTGCTTCGCTTTGTTGTTGTTGTGGTACAACTCAAAATCGTGCCTGGATGTGCTTGTAACTCCTCCACCACTTGGCTTGGTTCTAGCAGCTCAGCCAGCTGGCAGGAATAGGCCTATTTTAGGACGTTTTCCAAAGGCTTTTTTCCCCCTAATTTCTTAAACTTAATAGATATTTCTCCTCATCCCTATTAAGTCTATTGAGTCTTTGTCCAGAAACAAGAGATTTCTTGGTAATTAAAGAGATGTTAAACCCTGAAAGAGTTTCCTGAGCTGTACAGTGATGAAATGAAAGCTCAGTGTGTTTAGTGGCCAGGGAGCTGGATGATAACAGGGGACAGCAGTCAATCACTTCATTTGCTCTTGAATGTAGGTAATGAAGGAGATGAAAAAGCAGTTCCCCCACAAATATTAACTTGGCCCAAAACTTAACTTGGAAGAAAAGGCACTTGGACTCATTGTTTCCAGGATTTTCAGTGTTACTTTAGACAATGTAGAATGAAACATCAAGAGATGTTTATTCAAATCCACTAATGCAAGTCTCCAAAAATGACTGGAAGCAAACTTAAATTGAGCCACAGGTCAGGGCTTAAAGGAACCACAGAAGGTCACTATTAGGTATCAATAGTTGCTGTAGCTGTCATCTACCAAAAGCCTACTCTCTCCATCTGTAATAACATTACTAGGCTTCTGGTCAGTACAGGTTTGCACGTTCACTCTGCATTTTGTAGAAGAGATGTTATCTCTGCCAAAAGAAACTAAAGCTTCTCTTTCACTCTGGCTATACTCACTGAGGAGCACAACTCCAAAATGGGCTGAAGCAGCTTGTGCTCTGTATATCCACTTCAGCAGCAAATGGAGGCTTAAAGCTTGGCTGTAGTACATGAGGCAAAACTGCTTAAAAAGCAGCTTAGTCTGCTTGGCTGCCTGGTGTCAGCCCTGTAATATTCCTGCAGAACACCACAAAATAAGTGGGTGCCCTTTACCTGGGTAGGAAAGACCACACAGAAGGGATGTGAATATATTTAGGTACGTGGTAAAGGTTACTTACACCTCCAGAGGTTTCAACACACTCCCAGGCTTTACCATTTCCCTTCAAACCTCTGTGTTAGCACATCTTATACCTGAACACTTAGGGTTGGGTTTAGGCCAAAGCCCAGGCTTGGGTCCATCAGTCACCACTCACACCACACTCATCCCCAGTGAAGGGTGAAGGTACCTTTCTCTAGGCAGCTGGTGGTTAGGATTGTGTCGACACCGGACACTGAGGCCAAAGAGTTTGCGGGCAGTGCGCTGGATCTTCTGGCGCTGGGCTTCCAGGGAACTCTGTAGCAGCTTGTAGCGGTTCTGCAGATCCCAGTCATTCCCCCAGTGCTGGTGGATGCTCCCAATGGTCAGGAAGTGGTTGCTAGGTAGCCTTTTCATGAAGGATTTAAACTCATCTGGAATACACAAAAATGTGGAGAAATACAGAGGTTTCTGAGTTGTAACAAAGTTTTAAAGCTTTTCAGTTGCAGGATTCAGAAACAGCAATGATTTTAAGGTCCCTTCCAACACAAACCATTTTATGTTTAACTCACTGCTCTGACATTCTTCCCCAGGAAGCTCACTAATTCCATGGCTGTTGCTGCTCCTACATGGGAACTAAAACCCAGGGTTTGTTTCACCCAGTATTAGGGTGAAAGAATTCATTTAATGCGTGGAGAAAAAAAAGAAAGTAAATTCCCTGGAGCATGGGATTATAGTTTAGGGGTTATGAACGAAAAGCAGGGAGTTGTAATCATTGTCAGTTAAAGAGTTCTCATTTAAACTGTGTTTTAGCTGCTCCTAAAATGATGTTTGTTGCTGAAGTCAAATCACTTTGTGTTAAAATAAGAGGAAAAAAGAGCTTTAAAAAAGTCCCCAGAGGAAGGGTTTGAATTGTGTTCCCATGTCCTGCTTCTCATCTTTTAAAAGGAGCATTCAGATGCTTTTTTTTCTCATTTAACTGCATTTGAAGCTAAATGAGTTGTTTTCTATTACAATAAAAATAAATTCAAGCAGTTTTCAGGGCTAAGGTCAGAACTAAATGTGTCAATTTTAGCCAAAGGGAAAAAAATAATTGATCTAAATATATGTTGTTAAATGCTGTTTTGTGATCACTTTAGTTCTGTTTCCTTTTGTTTGATAATTAAAAAAAACCACATTATGCTGGGTTTGTTTGAGGTTTTTTCATTACAAAATAGTATATAGAGATACTGGGTCTGTTCACGACTTCTGAGAAATATAGTTTGCTTTGACTCTGATTATCAGGCTGGGACATCCTCATATAGAAAAAACAGACAGTTCCAACTTCCTTTTCAGAAAATAACCCAATTTTTGATACCAGAAAACTGTGTTTGACACAAAGAGACCTGGAGAAATGTGAGGAATGGAACAAGAAACCCTCTACAAAATGCAATAAAGATAAGTACAGCTTTGAACCAGGAGAGAAGAATCCCAAGCATCAGTATAGGCTTGGAAACAACCAGGTGAATAAGAGCTGCTAGAAAGGTCCTGGGGGTTATGGTGGGCATCATGCTAAAGGTGGGTTAACACTATGTTCTCACTGGAAGCAACATAAACCATATACTGTGCTAAATCCAGTAGGTTGGGGAAGTTAATATTCCCCTCTTCTTGGTACTGCTGAGGCTGCATCTGCATTTCTGTGCCAGCTTAGAGCTGCCCAATTAAAGATAGGTGTTGAGAAACCGGGAGGCCACAGCTGAGGGCTACCGCAATGGTCAAGGAACACAAGTCCTACAGGGTCAGCCAGAAGAAGCTGTACTTGCTAAACCCAGTGAAGAGGCCAAGGGGCAATCTAATTACAGCCTACAACTGCTTAAAAGGTACTTACACATACGAAGGAGAGAAACTCTCCTTATTAGAGACAGATGATATAACAAGGAGCAATAGTTTGCAGTTTGAGAAGTTCAAATGATTTATTGAACAACTTCTTCACTTGGAGGTAATGCAGCACTGGAACATGCTGCCCAGAGATGCAGAAGAACACTTTATACTGCTAAACATAACCATGGCTGACCTGATCGAGTAGTGCTGGTGGTAGTCCTGCTTCTAGAAGGAGGTTGGACAACAGCCCTGCTATACAGCCCACAAAGCATCCAACAAGAAATGCAGCCATCTTTTCCTGTGAGTTATCTACATCATTTTTCTTCCTTTCCTAATCCTTTATTAAAAATCCTTCATCCCATTTTCAGAAGAGAGGACAATAGCCAAAAAATGAAAGCTTGTAAAGGCTGATATCTTTGCAATAAAGAAAAATAATCCATAGAATTGTTGAAGAAAATCAGACCAGATAAATTACAATCTATCACACAAAGCTTGTGAATATTTGCATAACAGATTTCCTATTATTCAGCAACTTGCAGCTCACGCTTAACTGCCTAACAAAGAATATCTCTGTGTTAGTCAGTGCCATCATTATATAGATGGTAAATGGATGTTCACGTCGTACTCATCACATGGTGAAACTGAGTGCCTAATAAAAATAATCATCATCATTGCATTATCAAGATCCACGGGACATCTGCTTGTCTCCTTTCTTCCCCCAAGATAACGAAGAGCTACTTTGTTTTTAATCATCTCCCAGGTTTTCACTCTCTTTGCAACGCTGCTTTCAATGCCCTTCTCCTCCCCCAAAATGATTCTCTCCTGTTCAGTGGTCTTCTGAAACTATCATCATGTATAATTGCTTCTGTTGACCATGCTGATTACTCCCAGTACCTTTCAGCAGTAAAAGCCTTGCATTTGCTTCCCTCCCCTTATAAATCAATTTCCTCAAAAGCCTGTTTGTGCGAAAGACCAAGCTCTTTTCCCTCTGATGATGAATGTGCTACATTTTTCATAGAGATGGGTAAGGGAGAAATTTCAGTGCAGTGTGCACATTTTGATACTGCAGTGCAACGTCGGGGGGAAAACAAATAAGCAGAGAAAGCTGGCAAAATAAAAGCTGGATGGGGTTAGCTTTATAAAAAAGGGAATGAGAAAAGGAAAATACTTTCCAAAATGTATAGTTTCTTCATGTCTCCAGAACTATCTCCAGGCCTATCTCAAGACTATGGCTGCATGCTGCTAAGCTTTGTGCCTTTCTGGGAGCAGTTCATTCTTAACCCTACGACTTTGCAATTAATTAATGCATCTGTTTGCATTTGGGTTTATTCTATGTATCTGCCCCGAAAGTGTTGATGGTCAGGACTATATCTCCCATAATGCTACGTGGCCTCTCTTTGTGCTGAGTCACCCGGTGCCCTGCAGGCAGTCCCATGGCAATGACTCAGCATCACAGATGGTACAGGGCAGAGGGTCCAGCCTCTGGAGAGCATCGCAGGGAAACAGCCACATCAAACAGCTCTTTCAAAGGTGAAACTTTCGTTTCTCCACTGCTTGTCTTTTCAGTTAAAAAAATAATCACTTTTTCATCAGAAAGCAATAATACTGAAAAAAAGCCCCAAACCAAACCCTGACTTTTAATCAAAAGGCTATATAAAACCCAAAATCACAGTCCTGGTGCAGAATGTTTTGACCAGCCACACTAAAATGCCCAGAATAGGGCAGTGTTGTTTTTCCTCAATTTACACATGAGCAATGAAGCACGGGACTGAGAGAGCTCCTGAGATGATTTAAAGCAGCATCAGTTCACTGCAGCCTCCTTGACTTTGAAGATACCATCTCAAATCACACCAACTCCTGATCTGCCCCCTACAATTCTTCCAAATTGACAGAGGAACCCAACACAGCTCAGAAACAGAATACAGATCTTTCAGGCTATCTGCAGCTTCCTGCACAAATGGTATTTGCTTTCAGAGCACTCATGTGCCTTTCAGCCCACTTTATTGGAAAAGCCTTTAGATGTCATTAGAGATTTCTTTTCTGCTCTTCATAATGAAGAAAATCCTCTAGTTATTGGGAATATTTATTAAAACAAAAGCAGCAAAATACTAATACTAGAGTCTTCTTTGGCAACAACTTTCATCTCAAAGGATAAGTTCACGCATGATGCAACAAAGTGATGAATGAGATGCAGCAGCTTTAAACATAAAGATAATCACTCCATCTAGCCCTGAAAAGCCTCCAGCCCTGGGTGGAATATGGCTACAGCACGGCAGAGAATTGCACTGCAATGTGTCACTTTAACAGAGCAAATGAAAAACACCTTCCCCTGTTGAAATCTCAAGGGGAGGGAGACCGAATATAATTATCTACCACAGTCTTTGCTTAGATCAGGTGCAACAAGTACAGAATGTAACAGAAAAACAATCACTATGGGACTGTAATTCTTCTCTCTCCATAGGGCTCTCGCCTTCTAAGTGTCTGGGTTAGATCCCCTGGGGGTGTAAAGGGGTTTGATGAGCGGTGGCCACATGTGGCTCTTGAGCATCTTGTGTGAAGATCCTGTGCCAGAACTAGCAACTAGTAACACGTTACTAGTGGCAGTGCTGTGCTGGCAGGTAGTGCCAGTAATCCTAATTTGTGTAGTACTGAGTGAGCAGAAGCTTCTTGAAAGCCACGTTTCTGGTTTACCCTGGGGTACCTAATCCATCCCAGAATCTATAGAATCTCCCAGAAAACCACTAACCTCTTCATCTATGACCTGCTTCTGGAACTGACCCAGCCATGTGGGTACCCATAGTGTAGAGGTGGATCTTGTCAAGACAGTAGTCAGCCTCGTGCCATTAACTACTACTCTAACTTCGCTCAGCTGAACACGAAGTTGACAGCATGAGCTGGACATAAGAATCTGTGCAACAGCAGGCACACCAGCAGGGTCCACATATGGAAGCATGAAGCAGTCCTCAAGAGCTCATTGAGGAAACATCATGGGCCACTTCATTTCAATTATTAAGGGGATTATGGTGACCTTCAACATGAAGAAAGAAATTGCAGCTGGGAGATTTCTGAAGAAGAATTCTTCAATGCCTTGATTGGAGCTAGATGGTCCCTTCCTCACAGCTTTCTTTCCTAGCATGGAGACCTGGACCGTTATGACCATAACCATTAAAGAAAATGGGCTAGAAAGTAACTGGGTAACACCAGGAGATGTGAGCCAGCACAGGGATAAGTTCTCAATTAAGTTCTGCTTAGTGCCCATGTGGCTTCAGGGTAAGGATACCACTTGCTAAAGAAAAGGCTATAACTACACTGGTATGGATGCTCCTCAAGCCCTTGAGGGTGCATACTGCCCAAGTATTACAACACACCTACAATGGGTGTTACCAGCATCAACATGGAACAAACTCCTCTGACACCCCAAGGACACACTGGGAGAAATGGAGGAAGAAGAGAAATGTTCACATCAGCGGACACTGGCACTGTAGGAGAGAGAAGTAATTTTCCCTTCTGCTATCTCAAATGAGGTGTCATCTGGCCTGTGCTCTCTCTTTCTGAATTGCCTTTCACCAAAGCAGAATAAATCATTCATGCAAATCTGAAAAGCAATTTCTGCATCATTTATATTGTGGAAGTTTCTCTGTAGAACTATTAAAGAGAGATTCTGGGGTGGTTTGGTGTGAAAAATCAGATTTTTAATCAAACAAATTCTTCCTTGGAAAGTATCCCCTTACACATAGAATTATGCGTGGTGTGTGGTTTTACCTGTATGTGTAATAGAGAAAAAAGGCACTCCCTCAAGACTAACATCACATTTTTTAGGTCAATATCCTCTACTTTTTTGTCCAAGCTGGAGCATTATATTGAGGGAAGAAAAGATCCTTAACTGGTATAATCTGACACGTTTTGCTTGAAACAAATCAATCAGAAAATGAGTTTTGCTCGATTACCTGAATTCTCCAGATCTTTATAGGCTTCTGTCCAGGTCTTGCCCATGTTTGCCAATGTGTACTCCATGATCTGGATGTCAGTGATGGGGCAGTTGCACTGCGGGAACTCCTCCGCACACTGGCAGCCACACTGGCTGTTCCTGCAGATGTACTCCCCTTCGCCATTGCACATGATGTAGCTCAAGGCAGACTGGACAAACTTCTCCTGTAAATACTGAGGGAAGATGATCTGGAGACCTGCCATAGAAACAAGAGGTGGGGATGTGGGAAGAAGCAGAAGAAAAGACATTTCAGGTATCTGTTCTGCTTTCAAAACATGTTTCATTAACAGCTTGGGAAAGTGATGCTGAGGAATTAAAAGCTGCTGGGATATTTCTCGTGAAGCTGTCACATATAAGGAAGATGGGGTACAAATTGCATGCCTCCACTGCGAGGAGTGAGGTAGCTGAGAGCAGAGCCCATCTGCTCTGTGAGAGAAGGGTAACAAGTAAGTCCCCTCTCCCCAGCACCCAGTGTACCCCCTTCATCCTAGTCCTGAATCCCAGCACAGTGCAAAACGTCTGAATGCAAAGCCACCCTTATTCCTAGGTGGGTTTTTTATACTTTGCAACGTAATGCTAGTTCAGAAGTGATGAGCATTACACAGTTCTGACCTGTTTTGGAGAGACTAAACAGGTTTTGTGCCACAGAAACAAGGAAACTACATGCTGAAAGAGAAAGAAAACAGAAGAAAGGAAAATAATACAAAGAGGGATTTAGAAAAGACCCTTGCAGAGTTAAGTGCCCAGCTCCTACAGTATAAATACAGGAGTTGGGTACCTGAGTCTTTTCAGCTTGCTCCCTGCTAGGAAGGCTACTTGCCAAATCCTATAAAAGTGCAAATGGATTTAGTGCCAGTGATTTCAGTGGTGATCTGAAGATTTACATTAGCTGAGAGCTCTATCCCCATATCTCTTTCTCCATCTGAGTGTTTGTGTATCCATCCATCTGTGCAGGCATTAGTGTAGGTGGACGCTTGCTTAGGTACCAGAAGACATGATAACAGTTTAAGCATTTGCCCTGTGTGCAGTGTGCTTGTTTTTCCAGCCTGTCCTTCTCCAGCCCCCATATCCAGGCTCCCTACAGCTATCCCTGAGGATTCACAGCTGTTTTCTTCTACCTGGTGAGTTCTGCTTGTCAGACTCAGTCAGTGTTTCTGGTGCATGAGGCAGAGATGATAATAACTCTGAGCAAGAATTCATGGGAAGCCTGGACCACTCACCTTCCTCATAAAAGGCCCAGGGATTTTGGAGTAGCAGATATAGTAGTTTATGGCTTGAGCAGCAGCACTGAACTCCAGTGTAATGAAGGCATGCGGGTCAATTACCCATCTGTTGGTGTTTCTATTGTGCTGAATTACTGTATCCGTGGCTGACAGTTCGTTGGAGTGGAATGAAAATAAGACAATAATTCAAAGGATGAGTGTGTGGGAAGAGCAAAAGGGGCTGTGACTCCTTTCAGGAGTTCAGGCCCATCTCTGTGATGCATCATGGTCACCTCAGGCAAGAGGAAAGTGGTGGGCTGTGCCCTTGGGACCCCCATTACACTTTTGTTTGGGTTCCACAAGAGACACCTCAGCCTTGACAATGTCCCTCTGGAAGACCAAGCTCGGGAGGGATTAGGAGGTTATTGAAGGCACAGGGACCTTTGCTTCCTCTCCCCTCCTGCTACTGCCAGAGCAGAGTCTCAAAGCACTGTGCTCAGTGGCAGCAGCTGCCCTGTTGTCTGACTTAATCTGCAGCAGAGCATGGAATGGTGGCAACCACCAGGCAGGATGAACACAGAATAACCCTCAGCAGGAGAAGACATTTGTGACACTTGCACAAGGGTTTCAAGAGCAGCATTTGGAAGCATCATGTGTGCATAGATCCTGCTGCCTTTTCTGTGGTGTGTGAAAGGGACGAAACATGCAAGGGGCTGACCACAGCCCACAGCATCCCTGTGAACACCTCAAAACTAGTCCAACATCAGCATTTTGAGGTCCTTTGGGCTTTCCTGAGATGTTTCTCAAGAAAAAGCTCAGCTTTTGTCCTGTGGTCTTCAGGAAGCACTGAAGTTCAATCTCTTTTAAGGGTTTATCTGAAGCAACCACCACAGAGGGATGGTCCCACCTGCCAAGCTCCAAGACTCTCCTTCAGGACAGAAAGAAAGTGAAGTGCTGTTGGAGAGCAGAGATCTACAGTGGGGTTTAGAGAGCCTAAAGGCTGCTCTAGTCACTGAGCTTGCAAACTCACAGGAGAGGGGGGCTGGACTTTTGGATGTGCATTGATCCTGTTTATTAACGGTCTATGTCTCATGAATAAGTCTTTCCACTTTCTGCTTCATGGAGGAGCAACCTACCCTGGCCTCAGCCTTTGAATATGAAACCCAAATGATCACAGGTTCTTCAGCTTACTGTTTTTTTATCTATGAATTTTAGATTGAATAACAGCACTGACAAGCTCTTCGGTCCCAAATGAAATTGGCTTTAGAGATATATTTTTTTCCCTGGAGTGAATAGGGGTAAAATAAAGCAACTAAAGTTTCAGGGAAAGCTCTTCCCATTACAATGGGCAATGACCGTGTATCTCAGCACCTGCAGAAACACAAATACCCAATAACCTCCAAAACATGACACAGGCTCATCCTGCATTGCCGAGTGCCGCATGTGGATGCTTGCTTTTTGCCCATAAAACCTGTGGTTTCTAAAAAAGCCTTTCCAGGATCTTCTCTTTAAGAAATAATCTCAGATTTAAAAGGCAATCATCCCCCCATACACTTAGCACCAACTCAAAAGAACACTTATATATAAATACTGAACTTTAATCAGGTAAGCAGCTCTGCTGGAATCCAGGCAGCTAAATGTAGCATTTAACAAGCAGCATATATTCAAATATGTGCTTAGACCAGGAACTAGTGACACACAAATCCAGCTGCTCATCCGAATATGAGTGTGCCTACTCCAAACACAAAGCCCTAACTTTAAAACTGCACGTATGACTCAGAGATATTCCAGCCAGGAATTTCCTTGTGGAAGAAATCTGTATTAGGGTTAATGATAAAGGAGCCTCATGTCAGCAGCCAAGCAAGGGGGCAACCTTAAAGCCTGAGATACTGGACCATTTTCATGGGATGAACACCTCAGCCCAAGCCACGGTGCATAAGGAATGGGCTCATCCTGCACAGCAACCTCAGTAGCTGATAAGAGATGCAGAAGGTAGGTGTGCTGGTGACAAGTGTTAAGGTAACATTGATCAGAAGGAGGAATTCTTCCCCTGTGTAAAACATGAAGTTTCCCTTTAAAAATTAAAAGCAGCACAGATTTGATATAGGTTTGACTTAGATAACTACAGGCGGATTATGAAGTGTCTCACAAGGGGACATGTCCTTAATTCACCTAGAAAAACTATTAGAGAGAGATGTTTGCCTTTGGACTGTATATAAAAGGCTTCCTGCATTAAAAGAGGTAAATTTCCCCAGCTCTAAATTGGAGCTATTTGAAACATTTTCCACAGAAGAGTTCTCTGTTGAAAATGCAGTTTCATTGAAGCATTTGGTGAGAGCATGTTGACTCCAAAAGCACTTTTGACGGGGAAAGGTCTAAATGTATCTTTTTTACACTTCCTCATTTTGTTTCGGTGAAAAGCTGGACTGTTTGGTGTTGTCATTACTGCTCTGCCCATCACAGCAAAGGCTTTAATATTAATTGTAATGCAAATCTTAGTATTCTATTACCACATTTGATGTAACTACCTAATATGCACTATCTCCCGTTTAATGTCACAATCTTTAGAACAGCACAGAAGGATTTTACCTTGTTGAAACAGTGCCATGTTGCAATATTGACAGATACTGTCACAGTGTCCAAGAGGATACGTCTCTGGAATTTTAATTTCCCCAAACTTTTCAAAGTGTTCCTTTTTTTTTTTTTTTATTCCACTCAAATGTTCAAATTCCAGTCTAGGACACTTTTCCAGGGAATAAACTCCCGTTTCCCACTAGACCACCACAGAGCTGTAAACATCTTCCCCTCCTATGCTCTGATTTACTCCTTTCACAGGCAGCTCATGCAGCAGCTGCACTGGAGGCAGAGGCAGGCAAAAGAATGGCAGAGAGAGGAGGATATAACATGCAAGGAAGTGAAGTTACCTGGGAGATCCACACAGCCCTCCTCATGCATGGGGTGGGGAACCTGCCTCCAGGCAGGAAAAAGGGAAACCTAAATTACCGTGATAACGTATGTTCTATGTGATAGTGTATGTACTATGATGTACCTGAGTATACTCCAGACATAGACATACATACATGCTGGGTCCACGTGGATACTGTTTTATAAATTAGTGATGCTTTTCTGCCTGTGTAACCACAGGTGCAGAACCAGACACCCTGCACTATACAAGCATCAAGGTCCTCCCCTAAAATCTCCAGCCTGGCTGACCTCCCTGAGCCCATGTGCAGCATGAAGGTAGCTTAGCTCTGGGTCTGGCCATTGCATCGTCTTTGAAGCCACGACTTTCAGGGTTGGGCAGCAGCAAGTGAAGAAACAGAAATTCTTCCTGTCACGAAGAAGCTGCTCTTTTATTGAGCCAGCCTCAGAGCCAGAGTGACATGAAGGTAGAAACATGGATTTCTGTTAGCAGCTCATGCTCGGCTGCTAATCAGATCAGAGGAGACTCAGTCATGATCCATTACCTGCAGCCTTGTGACTAATTCCTAATGAGGCCGCCCAGAGCAGAGGAAGGATCCTGGGTAATTATCCCAAGAACCACACTCCAGATTAGGTGGAAAACTCAGGTGTGGCTTTAAAGGTCACTTTGTTCTATTAGGAGAAGTTCTTACCTTCCTCCCCACATCCCTTGGATTGGGTCTGGTCTCTCTCTGGGCTGGGTTATGCCATGTGTGTTTAGCCCCGAGGTCTCTGTCTACTCCCATCAGAAATCACAGCCTCATCCACCTTACATCCCCCATCTCCTAAAATTCCCCTCTTCCTCCATCTCCTTTCCCCCTCTCAGGCATCGTGCTTTTTCTCTTCTCTGGTAGAATTAGATAGCCAATAGAGATGTATTGATTCACCTACTTATCACTTTGTCTGCCTATAAACCCATCTGGCTGCTTATTTAACTGTTTACCTAGTTATCTGATGTGTCATCCTTGGGTTTTCATTACCAGCAGCCATCACTGCAGTGCATAAAAAGCCTCAAATCATTTATTGTTAATTAGGTAAGAACCAGAAGTCAGTGATTTAGATAATCATGGGAATAGTGAAAACAACCTGCCTATTATTTTTAAAGGCAAATAATAACAACAACAACAATATATCCACAACATGACTCAGTAAATGAAACCCACTTTCTGTGCAACCAAGATTAAAACAGCACTTGCCAAATTATACTCTAAGCGGAAGATGTAATGTAGCCCATTCATCTGAAAAATTAAAGTTTGTGCAAGTACAAGGATTCCAGAAATAAAACCAGCTGGGCAAATGAGCAATTAAATCCCACATTTCCTTATTTTGTCAAAAAATCTTGGGAATAACCTTAGTAAATTATACACCCAGTGAATTTCCTCCTTCTACTGAAGTTGACTTCTTGCGAACCAGAGCGTATGTATGTATTAATTCAGCCATGACCTCTATCTGTGACTTCTGGACCAGCTCCCCAGCTGGGACTGAAGCCATGGCTCCTAGCATCCAAATAAAACCTCTACGACTTTTCCCAAAGATTATGGTCATTAGAGAGTCCCAAAAGCTGATCTGCAAACCTCTTACGTGTATCAGCAATTTGGGAGGGACAGAGAGAGACGTGGACAGAATGCCCCTTCAGTATTAAAGGAAAAGGTCACATTTATTTATATTGGTGTAGATATTATATGCATAAGTCCATCAAAATTGAATGACAAGGGGCACTTCAGCGGGTCCAGCCTGCAGTTCCCTGTGCCTGTAGCTCAGTCAGTAGTCACACCCCGGCTCTGCTGTGCTGCGCACCATATGAAGCCACCAGTATTGCTTCAGGGAACTTACAGTGAAGACAGCAATAACAGCAAACAAAGGAGGTGAAAAGGATAGTAAAAAGCATTCCCCACCACCATTTCATCCTCCCACTCCATCTCCCTCATTCCTGTGCCTTACCTTGCAGGTGGAGTTTACTCTCAGTGCTTTGCAGAAGGACAGAACTCACAGAGTCCAGATTGTCGTAGCTGTTACAGCCCAGGGGGCCAGTCCGAGTTTCTGTTACCTATGGAGGATGTAGAAAACAGAGAGTGTTCCCTTTGATTCCCACACCACGTCTTCCCCAGGCAGCTTCAGACCTCATAATATAATGACTCCTTGTCAGCAACCAATGCAATTCAAAGCACATCTCCCCTAATAGGGAAAAAAATGTCCCACATTGGACAGACACAGCTCATGTTTTGCTCACAAGTGAAAATAGAGTGAATTGTGTCTGCTTTCTTTATGGTACTGCATGTTATTCTGGACTTGGCAATGAGGTCCTGCAGATTGATGTTTCTCATAGAGGATCTCCACTGGAGAACATCAGAAGCCAGTAGAGGAATTATTCCCTGGCTTCTCTTACTGGAAAGCATGATACAGAGATGGATTGCCAGCCCACTATGGTGCCCAGAGCTCCCACAACATATGTGCACACCATCCTTGTGCTGAGGATAGATGGAGGCACAGATGACCTGCAGTGCTGTTGCTCTGGTGGTTGCTGTTGGTTTCCAGACACGAAGGAGAGCTGCCCTTCCTGAATTCACAAAGGGTGATTATCTGCTGTCACTATTTCAATATCTCAATACTATTTCCCATCCAAAAGGGAGCAGATTCAGCCATGAGACACCACAGAGCTGAAACCTTTCAGAAATGGCTAACAATGATGACTCCATCCACATCTCCTTCCCTGGAGTGAACTCTGCAACAATAAAATCCCTCCCCAGTATAGGATGATTGCTTTCAGAGAAGGCAGCCTTTGTCTGCAGAGCCATTTTCCCTATTTTGTATGCTCTGAGCAGCTTCCCTTCCGTCCTGCTGCAACCCTCAAGCTGCCTCTCAGTCCGTTTCATTCCAGATGCCTCAGTAATGCCACACTGAGTTTTTCATCTTTTCTTGTAGTAAATTCACCTGAGAGATGTTCAGCAGTCTCATACCCTCAAGATGAGAATACTCCTGGGTTGGACGGGGTTGTCCATTTCAGACCTGCTTTTCCCTCCCAACCTCCATTACTGATCTGGATTATCTGTTCCCTCTCTCCCTTCTAGAAGTCACTGCCACACATAGTGGAATTCCCTACCCTACACAACTATCACACTGAATGCCCCCCCACCCCCACCTTTCCAGGTATTACTGGCCCTAGGGAAATCAATTCTTCAGTAAGGTCAATAAGAGAACAATTTACCCAGGAACTCAGTGCAGGAGCAAAACAACTCGTGATTAAAAAAGACATCACACTGGACGAGCAAAGTCCTGCCCAAATCCCTGCAGTACTGGTATGGGCACACAATCTTCTTTCTCTTCCCAAGGCAAGAGACAATACCTTGATTGCTCCGGTAGAGATCTGGATCTCATGGAGTCTCCTCATAGTGCCATCACGGTCTACAAAGTAGGAGGAAGCAAGCTGGTGCAATGCTTCAACGCTCTGGGTAGCATTTCCTGACTTTCTGTCAAGGCGGCTTTTGTCCATGTACATGGTCAAGGCCTCCTCTCCTGCAGCAGAAAGAAAAGGAGGATATTTCAGGCTGCCATGGAGGTTCATCTGAGCAGGAACATAAAATGTCACATGTGGCACCTAAAGAAAGAAAAGTCCAACTCCTAAAGGACTCCTAAATGCATCCACCCTTCCTCACCAGTACCACCTCACTGTAGTTAGTATGAGAGAACCTCCTTGTCTATTCAGCCAGAAAGGCCAGGTCCACCACACTTGTAGAGCAGCTCCACTGAACTGAGTAGATAACATTCTGGACACTTATTAGCCAGCACAGCTTTACCACAACTACTGGAAAGGATTCAGACCACTCATCCTGCTTGAGAAACACATTCTAGGGCAGCACCTCTAGAATGATGCACACCCGACAGGAGAAGATGCCACTTTTATGTAGGTCTATCTGCCCTGATTTCTAGAAGGAATAAATGATGATTTAGGTTGCCAATGGGATATAGTCATGTAGGTAGCTACAGAGGACAAACAAATGCTAGTTGCACTTCTTCAGCTTCCAGTGAGCATGCAAAAGAATAAAGGCAAGGAGGTGAGTGAAGGGGAGCAATCAGAGGAAAGAGCAAATAAGAAAGTTAATTTAAACCAACCACCCTTTCTGCTTTTCTTCCTCTCCTAGAGTCTCATTCAGGGAATTTAAGTGGGGAGTGTAGAATATTGTACAAGGTAAGGGGCAATAGGTGATTTTGAACCAGTGAACACAGAGAATCTGGGAGTGAAGCAGCTAATACCCAGGAGCCCCAAACATCAGCAGAAACCCAAATGTAACAAGAGAGGTACGAAAGGACACAGAGGTGAGAAGTAACATTTACCTAAACATTCAATCTGTGCTGTATGAGCCAGATTAAAACCCAGCTCATCCTTAACGTAAGGCTGGCACTACAGGAGGTGTAAAAGGGTAGAAAAACCATCCTGCACCCTTAACACGTGAAGCTGTGATTTCAAGAAAGACAATAGACACCCACGGTAGAAATGTGCCATTTCTACATAGCCCTTTTAATGAGAGGAATGACACTTGTTCTAATTTGATAGATGAACCACTGATGAATACATTGCCCCTGGCAATGATAGCATGGTCAAAGAGGCAAACAATGTTCCACCACTTTCTCAGCCAAGAAATGTTTTGCTCTTCAGCATTTTTGCATATTGTTGTTTTGGAGAACAAGCACTTTTCTTCAAAATTCTTATTAGCTGAAGTAGTTTGATTTGTCCAAATGATTTCTCCCCCCCCCCCCCCCCCCCCCCCCTTTTGCTTTCCCTGGATATTTTCCAGCTTTCATCTGGAAGCCAAATGCCTGAGAACAAACCAAAAATATTCTGGCTGAAAATCAAAATATTTTTATTGGATTTCAGGGCTTTTTTCAAGCTATTGATAAGTTGAGGATTGAGCCTTTGGCTTTGAGATGAAAAATGAAAGTTTTTTTGGTGGAAAGAAAATAGTTTTCATCAAAAGAATCTATCAGTTGAAATCTTTCAATTGGCTTCACAGGAGATAAAGTGGCAAAGTTTGGCATGGAAAACTTTCTCTCTTTAATATTTTCTTTAGAATAACATCATATCCTTTGCCCAGGATCAAAGTTGTTGTAGTAACAGTATCCTCATTTTTACGTCTCACAAATACACTTTCCCCGGAAAATGAGCCACTTTGATTCCTTTATCACTGTTATCGTCATTGTACGTTGAGCAGCATGAGGAGGCCTTGGCAGGGATCAAGGCTCTATCACATCAGGCTTTAGCCACACAAACAGCAGAAAGATAGATCCTGTCCTAGAGCATTTAAAACCCACATATCTGAGGAGACAACAGCTGTATACAGCAGACAGGCAGCAAAGCACAGGGGAATAAGATGACTGTGATTAACACAAGAAACAGCAGTCACCACACACCAGATGCCCAGCCACTGTTGATGTGTTGTCAGATTTCATCTTTGAGGTGACTTTTACGGGGGGATTTGAAGGAAGGTCAGACTTTGTGAATTTGCATGAGACAACTTGTTTGTCACCAGAAGGAAGCCTGAATAGGAGTTAGCCAAGAGCTAAAAGTTTTGTATCTTGCATGTAACAGCAGTATTTAACAGCATGGAGATGCAGCAGACATAAATGATGCTTTGCCACCTCTTTGCAGGGCTGTGACAGAAGAGGGAAGTCCTGGATAAATCTCCCTTTAGCTGCGATTCTCAGAGGAACCTGGTGGAGCCAGACAGCAACTCTTCAATTCCACCAGTAAGTGGAAGAAAACCAACTCTTTCTGGAAAAACAGCATGCCTTTATTAACAGTCAAGGCACAAAAATCAGAACCTTTTCAGTCCAGACTAGTTCATTGTAACTAGAGCAATGCTGGGAATGGAGATGCCTTGGACAGAGCAACCAGGAAGCCTCGGTTGAATTGCACCAGATAATACCACTGGTTTCAGATCACCAGGAAATCCACTGGCTTTCTGTCCCTAGACAACACAAAGCAGGCAATTGAGCAACTGAAACAGCTCCTAGACATCGGAGAGGGTAAACCTGTGCTCTAAGGCAGTGCAGATCAGTGATTTCCCCACAAGAAGTTGTCATTTGTCTCCTCTCTGAGGTGTTCGGACCCTTCCAGTAGGACTAAGAGGAAGAAAGCAGGAAAGGAAAACCCATAGGGTTTGATGCTTTTCTTGAGGGACAAATGTTGCCCTGAGGAGTGAAGGGCGCTGAGCAGAAACACTATTGCTGGAAAACCTATTCTGTGTGTATGTGTACGGACCTGGAAAAGCACAGCATCCCAACAGAGCATGTGCATGAGAAAGCAACACTTAGATCAAGAGAGGTTAACAGACTTTTGCTGCATTATTAAGTCTTAATTTCTCATTTATTAAGCAGATGCTATGTTCAAAGTTGCCTTTCCTTCAGGGCTTTCCCTGCAAATTGCCTCTCAGCTCTGTGTGCTCCATCCCAGAACATGGGTGCCCTCAAAATGACCCTTCAGCAATTCCTTTGTCAGAACTAAACTGGAGCAAAGCTGCTTTTTATTGGGCTCTGGGGGGATGTGGCTGCTCTGTAGGCTGAAAAGCATCAGAGCTGTTCCTCATGTGGCCAGGTGTGAAAATAGCTGCTGGATTGAGGTGGGCTGGCCTGATCCATCACCCAGCCTCCTGGGGACCATGCAACAGCTGGCATTTAAAAGCAGAACAATTTCCTGTGTGCTTGTCACTCCCTTGCAGCCTAATAAGACATCAGGTAAATTACAAACCACTGTAATCCAAAGCAGAATCCTTGTGACTTTTCAGAGACAGTCTTGGGAGAACAAGGGTGCCAGGACATGCCTGGTTTTATATCCCAGTGGTGATGGTTAGCCCACAGCCTGTGATTAGAATGTGTCCTCCTTGCATAATGCATGCCCAGCTTCATCTACATTTTCTCTGGGACTGCCATTGCCGAGATAAATCCTTCTTTGCTCCCCTCCCATTGCTCACCATTCTCTGGGCTGATGGAGCGTTTAGCACTCCTCTCCAACACCAGCTCTCATTACAAGCCTCTGCATATTTAAAAGTGTTGTGTTGTAAAAATCAGGAGAAACAAACCCCTGTGAATAATTCACAACCTCAGCCAGGCAAAATTAAAAATATATTTCACCATCAAAGGTCTTCTTTTAGATTTCCATGGATGCGAGTGACAAGAAAAAGGAATGCCAATGGAAAGAAGAGCAAACCCACAAAAACACTCCCAGTACTTTACTGGAGTCTTTACTTGGCTGGCTCTTGTAAAATACGGTCCTGAAAAGTGATTTCCTCCGTAAAAGGCAGTTTATCTTTATGCAGACTTCATTAAGACCTGATGCAGGCAGTCACTTGTACCCTTTGGTGCATGGAAATCTGCTTTCTCTCACATTTCTTGCAGATGGAGGAATGTTTTGACTGCCTGGGCTGCAAAAGCAGCCTGAGGACCTTTGAAGGACGTTTGCCACATGAGAGGCCATTTGACTTCAGTGGAACCGTGCCAATTTACCTACCTCCTAATTTGTGCATGAATCATATGCACACATCTAATCTCATCTCCGTCTCATCACAGTGTCTGCAGAATGCTTTGGGAACAGACAGATGACCAGAAATCCCTCAAAGTTCACTATAAACTTTGCAAAGTGGCAAGGCTGGAGGCCAGGTATATTAGAAGAAGCAGCAGCATCAAACTGTACTAAAATTAAGACCCTTTCCCACTGCAGCATCCCTCTTAAGAGACAGCAGTTCTCAAAAGAAAGGCATTTAAATGCACACCCCAAAGGGGTAAAGAATAGTAAAAATAATACAAGCGGGAAAGAAATCAGCAGCAAATATCAAGGAGCTGCTGCTTTTCACCCTGTTTTCAATACTCAGCACTTGAAATGTTTGTGCAGCACCAATAGCAGTGCACACTCATGGGTTAATGGCCCTACAGTGCTATATCTTATGTCATCACTCATATATTCCACTTGCACACACAAGCCTCTCTGCAGTCCTTGCACATACATTGAGTTTTACTCAACTATTGTTTTTTCAAGAGCCTACCCCACATTACTGTGCTCACTTATGTATTCAGCACAAGCCTTTCTGGCTGTCTCCTCCCCTGCTGCACACATTCCCTGCCCAACTCCTTGAACTCCCTCTTCCTGGAGCTGTTTAAAATTCCTCTAGTTCCAGCAAGAAAAGATGCTTTTCCCCCTGAATTTGGTTTCATTCTGGAAGGAAAAAAAAAAAAAAGAGGGATCACACTATTGTCAAATGAAGGACAGAGGCAGAGGAATGACAGACAGGCTCCGCAGCTAAATGAAGCATGTTTATCTTGACACACACCGGTACACATACACTGTTGTCAGAGGAGCACCAGTGCACACGTAGCACAGATGCTGAATGCACACACATCACATTATGAATTCATTTGCAAAGGCTATTCCTACTCCTTGGATCTTCCAACCATCTGATGATGGGACAGGCTTCAGTTCGTGGAGCTGTAGCCTGCCTCCATGCTACCAGCCATCCTCAGAAGTGCTTTGTAGGTGCTGCCCAGTTCCTTCACCACCCCACCACCCATGTGAGGAAGCTGCCCAGGTTGCCACCTACCTCCCAGGGTGGCAGAGATGAGGATGTGGGTGCCGTACTTTTTGATGATGGTATCGATGAACTGCTGTGTGGTGGGTCTCCTGCCCAGGAGGCGGATGCTCCTCTGGAACTCAGGCATCAGGGGCAGTGGATTGTGGAGCAGGTCCCTCCGCTCAATGGCTGTGTTCCTCACCTTCCAACGGGCAAACTCCCTATATGACAACACAGGAACACAACAGGGCTGAGGCTTTCAGTCTGGTGGGGCAGGGAGAGTCACCAGGGGAAGGAAATGAGGATGGAGAAGGGGACAATCCTATTGGACACCCCCACATGAATACACACGAGGCCACAAGGCTTAGACAGAGGGAAAGGAGGAGGAGAAGAGGAAAGGAGAGACATTACTGCACAATGACAATACACTTTGAGTAGCAGGGTCTGGACTGATGAGGAGGTAGCCTCAGAGTTTGCAGAGATAGAAGAAAAAGGCTGCATTTCCCTTCCAGCAAAAGAAGTAGGCTGGCCCTATCATCCACACACACTTTGGGGTCTTAAACCTCTCCATAAAGCACAAAATCCTAGTTTTTGTCAGAAAAGCTCATCAGTTAGGCTGCAGATCTAGTCCAGTCTGGTCGTTGCTGTATCCCTGTGTCCACAAGCCTTCTTGATGTGCTTTTGCAAAGCAAAGCTGAAGGAAGCACTTTCTCTAAACATCTTAATCTTTCAGCACCAGGAGTACAGCAAAAGATCATTTTGAAATACCACCTAAAAGGATCCATTTAGATATAAGCAGAGGCCAGGATGAAAAGTGAGGTTTTGTGTTTCTTCCTTTCCTTTTGAAAAACAAATAATGTGATCTTCAAATCCCTTCCTTTAAACTGAGAGCTACTGGGGGGAAAAATGGTGTTTGCAAAAGCAGCTCTTTATTGCAGGTATCCATTTTGAAACAACACAGAGGGAAATGCCTAGAGAAAACCTTGTACATCTGTGATCTCAAAGAGAGGCCTCAAACATCACCAGCTGAGTACCTTAAAAGGTAAGAAGACTATTAATGTCTTTTGAAAACTATTGAGCAAGGCCTTCTCTAAAGGCAAAGATATTATTTATATCTCCTCTCCTGCAATGCACCTGCACTATCTTACGTTCTCTCCCAGATAATCAAGTCGCAAGCTGCTTTGTCACTTTTCATTCACTTATTCCTATAACTCACGTTTAAGACAAAGCTTTAAGTAATAGGTGTTGGGGTTTAACCTCACCTGGCAACTGACCCCCAATCAGCCACTTGCTCACTGCCCCTTCAGTGGGATGGGGGAAAGAATCAGAAGGGTAAAAGTAAGAAAACCTGTGGCTTGAGACAACTTAATGGGTAAAGTAGAAGCAAAGCAAACCAGGGAATCCATTCACACTTCCCATGATCAGGCAGCTGCTCAGCCATCCCCAGGACACCAGGGCTCCATCACTCCTAACAGTGACTTTGGAAGACAAACACCATCATTCCCAACATCCCTCCTTCCTCCTTCTTCCCCAGCTCTATTCGCTGAGCATGATTCTGTATGGTTTGGGATACCCCTTGGGTCAGACGGGATCAGCTGTCCCGGCTGTGTCCCCCCCCAACCCTCGTGGCACCCCCATCCCGGGATTGGCAACTGTTTCCAGCAGGAACCGAAACATCCCGGGATTGGCAACTGTTTCCAGCAGGAACCGAAACATCCCGGGATTGGCAACTGTTTCCAGCAGGAACCGAACCATCCCGGGATTGGCAACATTGTTTCCAGCACTAACTAAAACGCAGCCTCATACTGGCTACTATGGGAAAATTAACTCTATCCCAGGGTTACAGAAGAAATTGGATTAACTATTCTCTGTGGATAGTCCTGTTTAGCATTAGTGGCTTAACACCAACAGCTAAAGTAGCTGAAGACTTAGGCTGCAAGAGCTGACTGAGAGTAAATTCTGAGAAAATTAATGCTGCTTACAAAGAATCAGCTGAATTTAGCAGACACAAGTGGGATGAAGAAGATAAGGACCAAGGAGACAATTCCAAGAGAATGAAGAACCTTCAGAACTAAGGCCACCCCATAAGAAAGTGAGAGACAACTGAGCAGTATTAAGTGGTTGGACTTGGGGATGGGTGCTGGTGGTACAGGTAAAACTGGGAGGCATGAACTGGGGTATGGGTCCCTCTCTGGAGGCACCAGCTCAAGCTGTAACCTGAGAATTAATAAAATACTAATTGGAAACCTTCATTTGGACTTGGCATTCATTCTCAGTGGGATCCCAGGGTCCAGCCATGTTTTGGTGGCGAGTGCGAGTTAATCCATAACACTAAGTCAAGCCCAGCACAATAGGAATAACAATACCTTGCATTTCCTATCAAAACTGCATCAATCAGTGCCAGCAATCCCAATTTGCTGGTACAGAACCTGACAAGCAGGCAGATTAGTTGATGCTGTAAGTCAGTTACAAAGCCAGGATCCCAAAACAGATCTTTTCCCCCCGGGTTGATGCTACACGCGGTCCACTTTGTGGGTGTCAGGTTATTTTGCTTAATGCAATTATGCATGTATTTATTTAGATTGCACCCCATCACAACACCCCAGGCTGCCCAGCAGTAGCTGCATTCATTAAAACAGGGAAGTGACAGCTTGTTACTTAAACATCTCTTTACACCTGAGCTAATGCCCCCTTTGTAGCTCCCAGGCTTTCCTAAGGCAAGTAAAAATGCCAAAACAAAACAACCCTCTTATCACATCCAGAATCATTAGTGTCAAACCTTGAAATCCACAGAAACATTGGTCTTTGCTAGAAAAACCTGCCAAAAGGCCAAAACCACCTCCCCAAAACCAAACCAAAATAACCTATATACCAGGATCCTACTACCAGGAGTGGCTCCAAAGTTGTCTGCAGGTAATGAGTACATTACCAATGGAGTAGAATATATGGGGTTTTCTCTGCTGTCCCAGGATAGTGTCCAATCCCAGTACTTAGAACATGTGGAAGGGATATATTTGGGGGTTCTAGTTGATTTTTGAGATACATAAAACCTAAAAAGTAAAGATAAACAGCTTCTCTCTGACACTACAGGGAGAGGTTGCTCTTATTCCTGATTTGTGTTACAATCCCAGATCTAACTATACAAGGAAATCCCATTTGCATGAATAAAGAATGTTCCTATCAGTAGTTACACACTTGTCCTGGGTTCAGCTATAGCAGTCATTTTTCTCCTTCTTAGTAGCTGGTGCAGCGCCGTGTTTTTGACTTTCAGTCTGGGAACAACGCTGATAACACCCATGGTTTTAGTTGTTGCTCAGTAATGTTTACTCCAACCAAGGACTTTCTCAGTCTCATGCTCTGCCAGGGAATAGGGGAAGCTGTGAGGAAGCGGAGACAGGACACCTGACCCAAACTGGCCAAATGGGTATTCCATACCACAGCACGTCATACCCAGGATAGCAATTGAGGGGAGTTACCTGGAAGGCCCAGATCGCTGCTCGGGTCGGGCTGGGTATCGGTCAGTGGGTGGTGAGCAATTGTATCCTCTCCCCTTGTTATTTCCCTTATCACTATTATTGGTGGTAGCAGTAGTGGTTTGTATTATACCTTAGTTACTGAACTGCTCTTATCTTAACCCATGGTAGTTACATTCCTCCCATTCTCCTCCCCATCCCTCCAGGAGAGGGAGGAGAAAGAAGCGGGGGGAGTGAGCAGGTGTCTGTGCGGTTCTGAGTTGCCAGCTGGGCTTAAACCACAACAACAATGCATGGAAAGAGGTCTATGTGGATGCTGAAAGACAGGCAAGGTTTATAATATATAGAGATTCGCATGTTCCTATCATCACTAGCAAGCATAGGAAAAATGCCATCTCTCTTCCTCTCCAAAGAGGCGGTTTTTACTTCCTGTAAACCAAGAAAGCAGTGGGCAATGAAGATGGGAGAAGGGAGGAAGAGAGAATGAAAATGTGGTAAATGGTGGATTCAAAAGGAAAGTGGGATCATTTTTTACATGAGGTCCAAGATCATCTCACGACACCACTGGCAGGAGGCAAAAGGAGAAGTTCAAAAGAAATCATTGCCATATCTTCAGCCTTGCCTGGTGCCAAGGGACAATTCCAGTCCCTGTTCAGGCAGAAGAGAAGCCTTTAGCAGAATCCATATCTAAAACAACATAGTGAAGGAGGCTCTTTTCCCCTCTCAGTTCCTATGCATGCCACCCCTCCCCTGGGCTTTCCACTCCTATTATTGAGGTAAAAGCCCAGTTCTGTTATACTTTCCTAACATTTGGATGTGTGGCTTTCATAGCTGATGAGAAAAGCTGGGCAAATACGTTATGATGAATAATTTATGCAACTAACTTAGATGTTTGTCTTCTACTCATAGAATATCCATGAGCCAGTTGCCATTCCCCATAATTTATGCATTATTTGAATTTATTTAGTGATATTTTCCAAGCTCTTTTCCTAAGGTTTTGCATAGCATTTGGCTGTATCCTTTCTTTGGGTGCTGTTGTTTGGCTGGGATTGGTCAAGCAAATTGTGAAGCTTCCTGATCAATGACCAAAAGTACATTTTAAACTCGGCTTCCCCAGTTCCAGAAGATTTTACATTAAAAGCAGCTCTTTTATACTAGCCATCTTCCACACAACCTATAGAAGTCTGTGCTGGAAGATGCACCTGAGGTCAAGATGATGGTACAGATTTAGAAAATAGACTTAACATTAATGGATATGTCTAGTGAAATTACTTAGCATTATAGAGGTGATAAAGAAGGTGAAATATATTTGCAGTGAACTGTATAGCTCTGACCTTAGGAATGATCCAACCTGTAACTCCTGAAGCATGTGATGAAACACCTCTAAGAACAGGTTTTCTATTAGCTTGCAATGCTGCACCAAATTGCATTTCCTGCAGAAGCAGCTGCTATTGGCCAAAATGAATTCATGGCACTAGTAAGTATACTCTCCTCTATCTCCACTGATTCCTTCATTCTGTGAGTCTTTGGATGATCTACCAAGGCCTTGGATTCCTGGATGTTGTGTGCCAAAGGGCATCAAAATCTTTCCTCCCAGAAGTCATTCTCAGATGCCATTGAACTATCATTGCTTCTCAGTGCCATCAGGGACACCGTGGTCTCAATGCCACTGCCTGGAAACCACAGGTCAAGCCTCTACACATCTCAAGGCACTTCTAAAAAGAGAAATATTGCACGGTTGCTTGCTC